GTTTTCTGCTCAAATCTTTGCCCGATCTCCTCATTGGTATATTTTAATGTTTACCATTTCCAGCGGGGTGGCACTGGGGGTGGCAAGGGCTCTGTTGGCCTTTGGCTCCGCCCCTGCCTGTACCACAGCACCAATATCAAATTGGCAGCAGCACAGCATGCAGCATTTGCAGGCAATGGAATTAGCTGCCTGTAGTAAATTTAATAAGTAATGGTTAAACATAAAGTGCAAAATGGAAAGTTTGCCAATTTCTATATCTCAAAAGTTAGAGGCAGACAGTGCTGCAGATTATATAGAATGTAGAATATGGTCTCAATGTTTTCCAAAAAGGAGAAAAAAATACCAGAGCTACAGTGCTCCCCCCCAAAACATACTTCTACAGTGCGGGTCTCTTACTTCCTAGGTTTGATTCACTCAATATTCTGGAATCATGACACAAGTTCTCCATCTTACAGCTGATATCGGGCACTTTGTTGTAACTGACCTTCCAGAAAAGGAGAGCCTGGGAATTTTAGATTTTAGTTGAATGAAATTCAGAATTCTTACCCCTCCTCTGCCCTGATACAGTTCAGTTCATATTTAAGGGGAATTCCTTAAAGTATTGGTCCCTAGTTTGTGTGTATGTGTACATATATAAAAATATACTGTATATTTATAGACTGTAGTATTGTACTACATGCCATCTTGTACTATAAACAAGGCATTTCAAAGTAAAATGAGGTTCTTGGTGGTATCTTCACGGTTTATCACTTATTTTATTTTTTTACCTTTTTGCCTGTGATTGGAACGTTGCCGATTTGAAGCCCAGCCTTGACCCCCCCCCCCCCCCCCCCCCCCCCCACCTCAGCTCCATGAGTACCACTGCAGGTGGCTGGCCTTTGCCGCCAACTATACAGCTCTAGGAAAAAAATGAGACCATAGCAGTTTTTTTTTTTTCCTCTGTTTATGGGAGTACGTCTGTTGACTCTTAGCAGTGCACTTCACACCTGCAGTTAATGTTTCCCATTCCTTTTGAAGGTCACCTGATGTCATTCTCTGATTGATGAAAGTGTCAAATGAGTTGATGGTCATCCCTGCCATTAGAAATTCGCTTCTGCCCTTGACCTGGCCGGTCTCTGGTCATTCACATTGTTCTTGTGTACTGCTGTCTTAGAAATTTTGAGCCTGGGAGCATCTTGCCGTGTAGCGAACAGGATTAAACCAGGATTTAAAAATGTAGATTTTTAAAAACGTATGAAGTGGTCTGTTTTTTCCAGGGCTGTATGTGTCGTCCCACAAGGGATCAGTTAAGTGGTGTAGTTGTTTTTGTTTTGCAGTATTATTGTTAAAGTGCAGGGACGGTGCACACAGAGCGAGCAAATTCTAAAAAAACACAGCACACAAATGGCATCCTGAAAAACGATATGGAATATTAAGGAAATATATTTAAAAAAAAAATGAATTAACAGCAGACATGGCGTTGACTGTGGCATGAAGACACCTCCAGTTGCGTACAGACAAAGCTTTGGCGTTTTTTTAGCGTGTGTGTTTTATATAAACAGAGCTGAACAACATGGCTGGAAATACCAGCGTGGTATTTTCCCCCCTGACAGAGGAGTGCCATTACAGAGCTGCCCTGTCCTTTTTGCTTCAGGGGCATTGCGACAGTCAGGGTGTGGGGGCTCAGCCTGGGGGGGGGGTGATCTTTGCCTGGCACACGGCCCATGTCGTGGTGAGTGCAATTGCCCTGGAGCCACAAAGCTAAATTTAGGCTCCGGAGTCCAAAAGCCTGTTTGTCTGCCGAGGCCGCAGGGTTCTCCGAGTCGTCGTTCCCTGTGGCCCGTCTGCGTGGCATTGGCGTCGGCATCGTGACCTTGGCACGTTTCTCCTGCCGCGCTTCACCACCAGGCTCGAATGTGGGGGAAAGGTGACTGTGTGGGGGGGGGGGACTTGTCAATGCGCCGCCGTCGGTACTTATCCCATCTGGCCCATGTGTTTGGGCCTCCGAAAGAGTCCATCTTTGTGCACAGGGCTCTGGCCTCGAAGCCACAGGCGTAGTCGCTCCACGTCGGCGGATGATTAATCACGTGGGCTTCTGCATCTCCTTATAGATCATCTTCATGGTTGGCCGGGGCTACCTCTCCCCAGACCTCAGCAAGCTGTACAAGAACTGCCCCAAAGCCATGAAGAGGCTGGTCGCTGACTGCATCAAGAAATCCAAAGACGAGAGGCCCTTGTTCCCGCAGGTAAAGGAAGGTGGAACTTAGTATAACTCAGTGAAATTTAGTTTGGGTAACTGTCAGTAGAATTTAGTATATAGTTGGCCCTTGGTGTCTGTGGGGGATTGGTTACAGGACCCCCCGCCCTACGCCCATCCTCCTGCATACTTTTAAATCACCTCTAGATTACTTCTATTACCTAATGGCATTTACATTGTGCCTTTTTTAGATCCTGTCGTCCATAGAGCTCCTGCAGCACTCGCTGCCTAAGATAAACCGCAGCACCTCCGAGCCCTCTCTGCACCGCGCCTCGCACACAGAGGACATCAACTCTTGCACTTTGACCGCTACAAGGCTGCCCGTCTTCTAGGCCGTCATGGTCCGACCCGATGCTGAGCCAGAACCCCCGCCCCCCTGCCCTCCCCGGACCCGGTAGAGACTGATGTGCTTGGCTACCCAGAAACTGCAGAGCAACTGGGTGAATTTGTACAAAGCAGGCCTTGGGCTGGCGGCCTGCCGTCACGGCAGAGGCCTGGGAATAGACAGGACATTTATGCTCTCCGATAGCATGTGCAGTGCTTTTGTTTTCCTTTGCTGTCCTGACCTCGTAACTTCAGAATGGAAGATTTTTTTTAAAATTTTTTTTTTTTAAATACAGAAAAGCTCTTTATAAAAACACTTAACTTTAAGGCGAATGAGGCAGGGTTTTTTATTTTAATAAGCCCTTGGTATTTCATAGCCCTGTTTGTTTTAACTCTGCTCATTTGTATGCTTGAATTTTGTTTCCCTCCCAATTCATGTCTAGTTTCTAGCATAGTGTCCAATATGTAGAATTTACCACCTTTAAATTTTACACCATGACCATCAAACCTGGAAAACAACTGTCCTGGTTGTCTGGATGTCTGTTTTCCAATTCTTTATTCCCTAGTTCAGGACATGGTTTCACAGTTTAGCTTTTTAGGGCTGTTTATAAAATAAATCATTCTGCTGTCTTTCTATTGTGGGAGGGGGATTTGAGGGCAGAGAATGACTGCTTTGTTTAAGGTCTAACTGATTTGGGATTTTGACATGTTTGGACCTCGTGCTTGTTATGGAGGATAAACGTGTTGTAAACTTCAAGATTTGTTTATCCAGTGTATTTTAATAAAATTAAGTTAAATGCATTCCTTTCTGGAATGGAAATAGTCTTTCGCATTCTTTCCTGATGGGTTTATTAAAATATTTTGCAAGGAATCTATTAATTCACATCCTCCATAGGAACGTCATTGTTTTTGAGGTGCAGAAACTCAACTCATCTTAACATTAACAGTTTTTTGCCATTTTTATGAGAACAGGTACACTGGAATGTGCTAGTGAAATTTGGGGTCTGACTGTAGGTATAGCTCTCCATCCTGCACCCCTGAAGCAATTTTCAGGAGGTTAAGGACCTTGGTCAAGCGCCCAACGTAGATATGGCTACTCTTCAAAGCGCGAGCTTCAAACCGGCAACCTTCTGATCACACGCAGAAAGGCCCAATCCTCACTGGATCCATTTGTGACCAATTCGTACAGATTAAGCAGAACAAAATCACCTCCAGTGCCGGAGTCTGATAGTAAAGTGCACATCTGGTATGGCCCATAACCCCACACCGCTGGACCCGGGACCAGCAGGTTCTGGTGTTTCCGTTCTACTCTTATCTGTATTCACTTGGGCTTGCATCCACCCCTTCTATTCAAGGGAAGGTAGCCATGCACCTTAAGCACGACCCCGCGTCCCGTAACGTAAGAAGCCGCCTTATATGGGAGACGGCAGTCATCCATAAGTAATCTGTGACCCTTGGACTTGTGCTCTTTGACCGCGAGGCACAGTCTGACGAAATTAACATTATGAACGATGATTCAGCAATGCGAAGACCAGGGAGAGGGTGCAAAGCATGAAAACATTTACACCCAACTTTCAGTTTCCTACATGCAGCTTTCAATGGATAAATTTAACACTTTGGAAGATGCTGATCACCTAAATACTTGACACCAATCTGATATATTTAACTTGCCTGGTGAATTTTAATGTATGTTTTCACAGTTACTCCTACTAACCCTCTACCAGATCAAGAACATCCATTTAAAAGAAAACGGCCACCACTAACCAGAGAATTTTAGCCATTTTATTTGTTGAAAGTATGAAGCAAGGTACAGCCTCTAATGACCTGAGATCATGGCTTATAGGTCTACACACAGGTTACCACTGTAATTGGTTCATACTCTGGGTTTCTGATATATTTTTATGATTCCATTCATGTTTTAATACAAATATGAGTGTATAACAAGTACAGAAAGGAAAAAAAAAACATTTTATGTCCATGTCAATAATTTATAGTATTTAGAAATACTTAGCAAATATAGAGTGAACATCTACCTTAAAAATGTAGCTCTCAATAATGTCCCTCGTTTACAGTACAAGACATCATACAGTAGAATACTACAGATATCTATAAAGTTCTTAAGTCTTACTGAGAGTGTGGTTAAAAACTGCATTTCAGACTCTGCACAGACTGATATCACACAAGCAGTCCCATAAGTAACGGTAAAGGGAGTGGGGCTCTGAAGCACGGGCGGTATTAATGTGTGCCGGCGGTCACGGCCTGGTTCGACCCGCAGGGAGCTGAGAGAGAAGCCAGGGAGAGCGGGAGGGACATGACCTGGCCTGTGGGCTCCGAGGCCCGTTTTGCTTTTGGACACACACAGAGGGAGCTGAACAGCAGACCTTCGCTTCCATCTTGTAAATGAGACGGCGGCAACGCAGCGTTCCTTCTGAAGGGATGATGCACTTATGCAAAGCTCCTCAGCCACGCTAGGTTGCCATTATTCTTTTTTTATACATTTATTTATTTAGTAGATTTTTTTTTTTTCCTTTAGCAAAACTTTTTTATTTGGTAAACCAATGAGCCACTCCACCCTCCCTGCAGGCTAGGTGACATCCCTCAAAGTACATGAACAAGATCTTCCCCAATATAGGAGGACTTCCTGTCCAGATTCCCATCGGCACAGTTTTATTGGCATTTCAAATCTGGCTAGTGTTTGGGACACTTTAAGAAAAAACTGCGTTCTCTAGGAGAAATATTACTACTACTTTGCACAAGAGCATTTCTGTTCCCCAGGAATCTTTAAAAATAAAACCCTCTAAAAGGTTTCAACATGAAAGGGTGAACAGAACACACGATTACTGCCCAGTGCTGCCTCTTCTCATACCGCGGGGGTCCTGCAGGTGGCCCTATTCAGTGGGGTGTGCCCTCGTGCCCGGCCCCCGACAGCTGCATGAATAGTTCCCCCAGCTCGCTGACCTCGCCGTCGTACTGTCTTGCTCCTCTCTGCTCCCGTTCCTCGATGAAGTCCCAGAGCCGCACCGAGTTCAGGAACTGCGGGTCGGACCCGAAAACACTTACAAACATGCCGGGAATACACGCTTTTAAAAAAGCAGCCAGTGAAAGACACCAAACTGCAGCTCCTTCATCAGAACAACTTAATATAGAGGCGAGATGGACCCGATTATGCCGTGAGAGGAAAAAAAAAAAAGAGAACTGCTCACTAGCTAAGCTATGCATCAAGAGCTGGACTCTACCGGCCGCAAAGTGGAAGTTCTCTGGGAAAAGCTGCCTTCCATTAATCATGAATATTCATTTCAGTGTGTGTGTGTAAGAGGCTCGGGAGGAAATGAATAGGGGGCATTGTTTTCAGTGTAAACATGCAAAGGCCTGGACAAATGGACCTCGTCTTTCAGGCTTTGTACACTCCGTCCCACAGTCAGGTTCTCCAGAGCAATTCAAACAGGGAACCTGAGTACGGAGGGAGGCACTTACCCGCACGTTTCCCTCGGACCCCAGCTGCTTGCGCGGCTTGTCGGCCTCGGCCCGCGTCCCGTCGGGGTAGGCGTGCATATACAAACACTTCGCCCCAAAGGGGCACGTCCCTCGGCCCTGGTCGAAGTACTTACAGGCCTTCTTACTGCAGGAGACAACGAGAGCAGAAGAGCAATCGGAGGATGTCAGACAAGGAAACAGAGGTGTGACTGGGTCCTAAGCAGCCCAAGTCAGAACATTTATTAGAACAATCGACAAGTGAAATGACCTGATCACACCAGAATAGATAGAATTATGCAAGCAGAGTTTCCTTCATAAAGCAGCAGGACTGTCTTGCATGGCATCAGAGAGGCTTGTGAGTCTTGGGGGATGCATTTTCTGTATGCAGTATCACCTTGCTGAGACAGTGTAATATATGTATTTACTTACTTACTCATTTAGCAGACACTTTCATCCAAGGTAATGTACTTTTTTAAGGAAGCAGGATCAGACAGTCCCTGGGGCAATTGCTCAGAGGCCCAATGACGAAGTCATTCTGCTGATCCAGGGGTTTGAACCAACAACCTTCTGATCACAGGCAATGTATCCTAACCCACTGAGGCACACACCTTGTCGTACACCACCTCCATGCAGATGCCGCACACCTTGTCCCGGCTGAGCTGCTCTGCGAAATACCTTCAGTAACTGAAGTGAAGCTGGCTACGACGGATGCGTTCCCATTACCACGGGACAGACAAACTACGGGCGCGTGACGACGGCAACTTGAAAAACGAGGCATTAAATCTCTCATTAGGGAACTCTGACTCACCAAGTGAGGCACACGGAACGAATGTAAACAGGGGAAGGTGAGATCAAATGCCTGCGGACCTCAGATTTAAGGGACGGTTCACGGTCTGAAGGCCAGAGCACCACATCACAGACGGCAGGGAAGCTGAAGCCTGATTGGCTTGGCAGCCGGTGAGACGTCTCTCCCCCCACAACACAGAGATGTGGACGCTAACGGCGGGGGGCAGCCAGGAAGGTGGCACGCTCAACTTCACTTTAAAGCGGATTTCCCTGCACATGGATGGAATCAAAGGCTCTTCAAAGGTAAGCAGGGGTGTGTGGGGGAGGGGAGGGAGAAGGCAGGCAGGAACGGTGCTGCTACCAATAAGGGGAGCAGCTTGCTGACCTTTGAGTTTCTATTTCTGTTGGGCCACTGAACAGCAACGCTAACCTTGGGCAGAGCTGGCCACACTCCCCCAGGCTAGCACTGCCCCACAGGCTAAAGCTTACAAAAATCACCAACCAAGATCAGCAAAACTCCCCAAGTTATATAGCAACTCCCCCATGCCATGCCAGAGTGTCAGTAATTGGCTATTTTTGGGATAGACACTAGAGTAGGGTTGGCCAAAACAACAATCACGCAACCCCAGTGACACCAAAATGGCTACTGGTAAACAAGCCAGACAAGGTTACAAGGAATGCAGCCAGCTACCTGCAAATTACGAGGGTGAAACTCTGTAAGATTTAAGTAACAGCAATATCTTAAGTGAAATACTAACTAGCCATTTAGCCAGCCATTCATGTGCAGTTTGCAGAGGGGACGTGTGTGTTTACTTGGCTTATAACGATGCATTTTTTTTATGGGGCGTCTCGCAAAACCAGATGCTGATGTTAGCTGGATAAGCAAAGGCCAAATCAGTCCCTCATGAACACAGTTCAGCGTGTTTACGGGAGTTAAGGTTTACAGGAAAAAAAACATGCGGCTAACATGCTAAACATTGCATGTCATCAAAAACCATAATTATACTCTACATATCCACTGACCTGTGAGATTGAAGCACTTGGGGGTTTGTAGCAGGGAGGTAACACACAAAGAGGGATAAACTCCTAACTTTCTTTAAATAGTCATAAACCCAGGATTCTGGGATTAAGCATCAAGCAACCTCATTATTATTAGATGCAACGAGAAATAATAAAATAAAATCACCCGTTTTTGGTCCTGTTGTTAATAATCTAAGGGGTTTGCCACTTGTGAACTGTGTGTGCATACAGGGTACAGGGTGACACTCAATACACACCAAATAGGAACCATCAGTCAACACACACTGCCTACTCTGGTCAGTGCTTAAACTTCCATTATTCGGAAAATATTTCACGAAACTTCCCTACTGGCTACTTCGCCACACCGAGTTTCACTCTTAAAAGGTGTGGCAAGGAAAGAGTCTGCAGAGATACCAAACTGCTTCAGGTGCCGTAATCAGAAACTAAAGGTCTGGATATAAAATATATCTTTGCCTTGCAATGCAGGTGAAAGGGCTGTAGGTTCGAATCCCGCCTCCACCCTGTGTGTGTAGAGTTTACACGCGGAGAGACCTTGTGGCACCGTTTCCTCTGGGGACTCAGATTTCCTTCCACAGTCCAAAAACAAACATGCACGCAAACTCACATCTCTAAACTGTCCATAGTGCATGTGAACAGGTCTGGCAACTGACTGGCAGGTTTCAGGCACAGCATGGCCACGTACTGGATAAGCGGAAAGAAGACAGTTGATGCTATATACTGGTGTATGATGGCTGGCCCCTCCCCCTCTGACCTGACTCCATATTTGAACTCCTCAATCAGCCGGTTCTTCTCCTCCTGGTCCTCCACCCAATAGGCACTGGGGATGACGAACTCAGACACGACCCGGCACTCTGGGCACGACCTTGGCAGGAGACACAAATCAGACTAGAAGTCACAACACAATATCGGCCAAGCTATGAAGTGTATGGATTTATCACTGTTAGTCCTCCTCTACCAAGATCTGCAAACTTGTGATAAAGACCCCTGACTGGCAGACCCCCAGGCAGTCAGGGGTCATGGCCCCACGCCACTCACTTGACGATCTTGTTCTCAAAATTCTTGACGCAGCGCCACTGCCGGATGCAGTTGAGGCAGTAGATGTGGCAGCAGCTAGACAGGATGCCGAAGCGGCGATCCGAGGCCGAGACCTTGTCGTACACCACCTCCATGCAGATGCCGCACACCTTGTCCCGGCTGAGCTGCTCTGCGAAGGCCTTCTCCATATCCACCTCGAATGCCAGCATGCACATCTAAGGAGGCAGACAGGAAGTGACCCATACGTCCCTGTCATGCATCCCTGCGTTTGGGTCACAGGTGATTAAAACTGATGACATCAAAATGCACCATTTTCAATATTCAATTTACTCTTCTATAAACACAGGACTATACCAGACATTCAACACAAGTACAAAAGCCCCAGTGCCACATCACAACTGTATTTTAATTATTTAAACTATTCTGCCATGAAAAAATAATACTGGAACAATAAATATATATAATGTACAGTTCCACTTCACATTTGCGAGGGGTTAGGGGTGGAAGATCCCTGCGAAATGTGAAAATGAGAATAATTGTTGGACCCATTATTAAAAACACAAAATCAGCAGCACTTAGAAGTTACTACAAGAAATGCCAGATTCCACCATCACAGACAGCTAAGATGTGAGTAAGTGAGGTTACACAGACAAAGATGCACAGCGTACCCAAGCAAAGATGTGTAGTTGCCAGAATTTTTATTCTAAAAACACAAATATTTACTATATGATTTTATGTGATCCAAATCATTTTCAATATTTTTGGCTTCTGTGTCATCGACGAGTTTGTGCAGTCTTTCAGTAAGCATGAAAAATGTTCCCATTTAATTGTTCACAGCCAGCTCAAGAACAACCAAAATCATGAATGTCAAATTCACGAATTTGGAGCTGTGACTGCATATTTAAATTCATATACAGCAATAGCACCATAAAAGCAGCAGTACAGTGGCCCTGTCCCCCTGAGTCACCTTCTCATGTGCCCTCCTCTGCTCTGGATCATGAGGGTGCAGCACTTGCAGCCTGCAGATCTCACACACGTCTCCATGGAGATAGGAACAGCTGTTGCCATAGTGACACTGGCCAGCGGCCGCAAAAGGGCAGAGGGGTGGAGCATCGATGAAGGGCCCCCCACTTGCAGAATCGTCCAGG